TAGCTATTTTTGCTTATAACTTTTAAATGGTTTGACCAAAAATTACTTATCTCTTTAGATTCGGACCAGCATACCGAGTTGAACCATACCAAATTTACCCATTTTGAATTTTGTCGTAAAATGTCGTATTTTGCAAACAAATTGTTGTATCGTTACGAAACTCGGATTGTGTCTTTGAAATTGCAGTATTTATTATACATGATTTATCTGTGTACATCATTCATTTGTAAAACATTCGTGTGCCCTCATAATTTTTAATCAAAATAATTTCCCCTCCCTCTTGCAACAGTTCCTTTTGCTTTAGTTTGTTGAAGTACTAAAGTAACTCAAATTAAATAAACTGACACTAAAATAAAAAACAACAAAATGACTAAACTTTAAAATGAATAAAGACTTTTTCATTGCTTGAAATAAAATAAGTATTAACTGAAATTATGTAAAATATAAAAAACCTACTTATTTTATTTACAGTCTGACATTAATGACAGCTGGAGTCTCTCAGTGTGATGTGGCTAATAGCTGGGATCAGTCTGACAAGCAACAGTCATAAAGGACTGTTATAAATCATACAGCGTGCACTCAGCTTAAAGTAACACCTGGATGTGGTCTAATATAATACCCATACTGAAACCTGTGATAAACGACGTAACGTTCTGTCCGCAGGGGTGCGCTACAACGCTCAGCTGACCGTGGATGACTGCTTTGACATGGGGAAACTGGCCTACAATGAGAATGATTATTATCATTCAGTGCTGTGGATGCAGCAGGCACTCAGACAGATGGACTCGGGAGAAGACGCCAAGACGCCCAAAGCTGATATTTTAGATTATCTGAGTTACTCCGTCTATCAGATGGGTGACCTGTCACGAGCCATCGAACTCACCCGACGCTTGGTGGCCATCGGTAGGCCATCTCTCTCTCGCTCTCCCTGTTATGTTTGAACAGCAAATTGTCACTAGATGATCATTAGGAAATGTAATAGCCACATAAAATCACAGGAAAGTCTTATATGTATTACATGGAATTTAAGAAAAATATCTGATGCAGTTTTTTTGCCTGTATTTCTCGAACATTGCAAATTGCATGTTTTGTGCTGTGTGCACTTGCAGATCCCAGCCACCAGAGGGCAGGAGGAAACCTGCGCTACTTTGAGCGACTGCTGTCTAAGGAGCTGAGGGACTTGGGTCGGAGCCAGCAGGAGCCTGCGGACGAGAGGCCCATTCAGCTGGACACTTATGAGCGGCCCAAAGACTACCTGCCCGAGAGAGAGGTGTACGAGGCCCTCTGCAGGGGAGAGGGAGTCAAAATGGTGAGCGCAGCTTATATCCCAAACGCACAATGAGGGAATTATTTGCCTTATTATTTTCACTTTATTGCTTTTGTAAGCCGTGATTATTTTGAGTCATTTACAGTAAACTTTCATTATATTATATACTGGTCA